ACTCCCAGAATTCCCCAGCCACCTTGCTGGCTTGGGAATTCTGGGAGTTGAAGTCCACACAGCTTAAAGCTGCCAAGGTTGAGAAACACTGCTCAAAGGGGACCAGAACCTGGGTCCCCCCACTCCCACTCCCCCACCCTGGCTCTCAGGTTTACCCAGCCAATCCTTACCTGCTCCTCCTCTTCTCTGGGTGGCTGCCTCAGCAGGAAATCCTCTGCCAGGGCCACGGCTTGGGGGCAGCTCTCTGGCCTCCCTCGCCTGACCCAGGTCTGCATTTCTGGCGGCAGGATGGCCAGGAACTGTTCCAGGGTCACCAGCTCCAGGATCTGCTCCTTGGTGCGTCTCTCCGGCTTCAGCCACTGGTGGCAGAGCTCCCAGAGCCGGCTGCACACCTCTCGGGGCCCCTCGGCCTCCTGGTAGCCAAGCTGGCGGAAGTGTTGGCGCTCCAGATCAGTGCCCGAAGCTGCTTTTTCCATCTGCTGGACCTCTTCCTTCACTTTCCCACACTCCCCTTGATCTTTCACTGAGATACTGTTAACCGTCAACTGGTCTTCTCTGCTGGGGCCCGGATGGCTCATCTTCTCACTTGCCAGATGCTTCCTGAAGTTTGATGCCACCTCTGGCGGGCACAAGGCCTCCTCTTTTAATGCCCATGGACTTTGCTGGGAAGACTCCATTGCCTTCCAGAAAGCCTGCAACTGGGCTTCCCACGGCTGTTGCAGCCCCTTCTGATAGCCAACCCTGGTTCTCTCCGAGAATTCCTTGGTGCTGCCCGTGAGCAAAACGGGAGGGCCTTTTCCAGCCTGTGATTCAAACGGGACACAATCTGGCTGCTCTGTTTTCACTCCCTGTTGAACTCCCACCTCCTGTAAGAGACCCAGAGGCACCGCACGTCCCTGCTCAAAAGCCATCTCCTCTTCCTGGCCCCGATGGCCTGAACCAGCCGTGTCTGTAAATCCCACAGATTGAAGGGGGTCCTTTGGAGATCACCACCCTGAAGAGCATTTCCAGCCCGCAGGTGGTGGAGACGTATCGATCTTCTTTCTACTTCTTGCCACAAGAAACGCTTTTGAGTCCCTAAGGGGAAATTTTAAAAGGAGGACAATAGATACCAATGCCAAGAAATGCAAAATAAAATTACAAGCTGGCAAATCTGTTCAATCTGAGGTAGCTAAGATTCATAAGATGAAGTTTGCGCCCAGATTATAGAAAGAAGAATCATCATGGAACTTTAGAGAGGTTAAAATATAATTGTACTTATAACTGCTGTGAAGAATATCAGAAGCTACAATCATCATGGAACTTTAGAGAGGTTAAAATATAATTGTACTTATAACTGCTGTGAAGAATATCAGAAGCTACAATCATCATGGAACTTTAGAGAGGTTAAAATATAATTGTACTTATAACTGCTGTGAAGAATATCAGAAGCTACTTCTTTATACCTTCATATCTTTCTTTATATTTTTCCCTTTTTTACTACCTTCTTCTATTTTCTTTTCTGATGGCACTGTTAGCTTTTTCTGTTATTTCTCTTTCATTTTCTCTGTTCTAATTCAGTTTGTATTGGTTCCTATTATTGCTCTTAAAACTTTTAATAAAAATTATATATTAAAAAAGAAGTTTGTGCCTGATGGTCAGCCTACACAGACAGAAATCAAAATAATATAATCAGCAAAAAAATGCTTCTGAGCCTGCTCAAATAATCAACATTATCCTACAGACTGCAGATACCTCAAGGTCCATCAGAGAGCAGCAGTCTTGATTTTTTTGTATAATTTTGCTGTCATCTAGGGGTCATCCCCACTATTTGCAGAATATGCAGACAGTGATCCTACGGGTATTTCAGAAAGCTGTCCTTTAGATTTATTTAATTTTCTAGTTTCTTGGTTTTCCTCCTGAATTTTCCTTTGTTAAAGCAAAGTTATAAACATAAGCAATCTTTTTTATCCTTATGCATCTCTTTCAGCTCTGCCCCTTTTTCAGGTGTGTCCTTTATTTTTTTAAAGAAAAGATGGCCACTGTATGTACTAGATATATTATAGCTATTATTTTTTTATTCTGAAGTAATAAGAAAACAGCTACTCATATATTGTTAAGAATGGAACTTCGGAAGCTCTCGTGTTATGAGGGGTGCAGATTTAGAAAGGATGTGTGTCTTTTTCAAAGAAATGCAATGCACCATAGCGAGGAAGGCATTTTCCGATGCCTTGGGATCCCATTCTGTGGTGATCCGGAACAGTGTTCAGGATTGCAGCTCAAAGGCCATCTGCTCTCCCTTCTCATAGATTTTAAACCATCGACGGACATCTGGTCATTTAAGACAGTGTTGTCCAAACTTGGCCACTTTAAGATGAGTGGACTTCAACTCCCAGAATTCCC